AGTTTACGGGACGACACCTGTCATTCTGTTCTTTGCTTTCTAGTACGCACAGCTAAGGAGCTCACAAAACTGAATGGCACCGTCACTTCTAAGAACTCATGGTTTATCTACATTATGGCTTCTACTGTTACTGTCATCTACCGCTCTTGCTTCCTACAGCATCGGCGTCGGGAGAGCTGACAGCACGGGGGCCGCCCGCAGATATTGTCTTTGTTAGTGTCCTATTCTGTATGCTTCATAGGAAATCTCGTTTAATATTTTGAATAACGATGAGGAAAATTTATTTCATGGAAAAAATATTATATTACGCGAGAGTAAAAAACGTACGCTACGAAAAGCGTAGTATCTCTCCTCGTATATTACTTTTAGCTTGTATGAAAAAAAAGTTATATATTCAATATATATTCAATATATATTTCAAAATATATTCAGTGCTAGCAAAAAGACCGGTGAAATAATAAAAACAATGAAGGTTCTGAACAAGCGGTTAAGTAGCGTACGTAATTTCAGATGGGATATGCTAAACTAGATCAAAAGGGAAATGGACTTCATCTTCGAACATTTTCCAGAGCTTTCATAATCGACGATGGCCTACAAAGGTTCGCGTTTGTCAGCGTGGATAGTGCGATGATAGGCAATGATATTCGACAGGAGGTAACGTACACGTATATGAAAAGAACAACTTTTCTGAAGCGTTCAAAATTTTGCCTAAATATCTGCCTACATATCTGAAAGCAATTTTATTGGATTATTAAAATAATTATTTGATTATGTATTTAATTATATTTAAATCGGTTGCTAGAATCAATTTGTGCAGTGTTATATAAGTTTGAGCTTCTTACATAATTATTTTAACAACGTCTAATAAAATTATTTTCAGATCTGTATCTGGATATTTTTAAATTTAACTTTAGCAAAAAACTGTTCCTTTCATACATTCATGCTTAAATATAACACACACTTACATACATGTAAACACACAAATGATAATATAGGTTACATTTTTAATATTGATTTTAGATATATAAGCAAAAAACCGACGAATATTCATTTCGCAATTTTTGTTTCATGTACAGAAAATATGCGTAGGGATAATTTTATCTCTTTCGAGTCTTTTCGTATTTGTATATTAGTGTTAAAATAATAAAATAGAAACTTTAAAGCTTTTCATATAACATTTAAGATAATGCAACAAAAATTATTTTTCTTTTCTTTCTTCTTTTATATAATTCTTTTTAAGCTCCATAATTTTATCATTAGAATATGTGTATTTTTTTATTGCTGCTTTTTTATTTTTGTAAGCCTAATCTGTAACGTTTAAAGATTTTCGTTTAATAAGAACATCATTTTTATACAAAACAAAATTAAAAGAATGTTATGAATTGTCCGGTAATAGAATAAAATGTACATAATGATAACTAATATAAATAGAATGTAAAGATAAAGTTTATATTAATGTATAATCTTCTTAATATTATATTTTAGAGTAATTATGCATAAATTACATTAAATGCATTAAATGTCATTTTTAAAAATGTTTCTAAAGATTTCGCTCTGTCTAGTTTTATTTTAAATATAATAAATTAAAGAATATTATTGTATATTTTTTTAACTTATGCATTTTTAGAGATTAAAGTACAATTTAAAAAAAATTTTTTAAATAAAGATTTGTCATAAAAATTATATGTTAAAAAAAATTTTTCAATAACGAAATTTTATATAAACACAGATTTTAACATGATACGCAAGTATGCAATTAAATTTAAAAAAAGAAAGTACTTGTTTATCTCTTATACAATTCTAAAATTGGAAATCCATAAAAATGCGCGTGTGTTATTTTTTTATTCTTTCATCGTGTAAAAAACAATATCAAATATTCCGTCAATTAAGTGCGCACAGTAGCAGAATGCACAATTCTTTATGAGATCATGCTGCAAAATAGAATTATTATCACGCGATGTTAATCATAATCCTCATCACTGTAGGTACTGCGCAAATTGAAGACCCGATTTGGCGATATGTACACAGAGAGAAACGTGATGATTAGTGGGACGCATACTCACTCGGCCCCTGGTGGTTTCATGCTAGACGTACTTTTCGATTTGACCACATTGGGCTTTGTAAGGGAGTCATTTAATGCTATCGTCAACGGCATAACAGAGGTGAGTCAACTGGCAAACAGTCATTACGATATTGCACTATGTGAACGAGTCGCTTGGCTAAAGATGACAGCCAATAACAACTGGGTATTTGTTTTGACATCATAGAGCATTCAACGTGCCCACGACGGTGTTGGACCAGGAAATATCCGTATTGTTCAAGGAAAGGTTTTGGACGCCAACATTAATCGGAGTCCGCAGGCGTATCTTAACAATCCGAAGTCGGAAAGAGATAAGTAAGTGAAGTAATGTGAGTGAAATCATTATAATTAAAAAAAAAATTATCCTCGGAATATGATAAGCTTCATATAAGAACAAAATGACGTCTACCTTAGAAAATAGAAAAGAAAAATTAACATATTTTCTCTTTTAATATTAGGATATTATTAATTAAATTAATTAAATAAGAGCACTATTGTATTATATAATTTTTTTTAATTAAATTTTCCAAAGAGGAAGCGGAATGCTTGTATATTTTTAATATGAAAATGTCAGTGGAAAATGTTATTTATAATATTATCAGACTAGCCTTGCCGAGAATCGGACTGCGAACGCGACGGTCTCAAATAACATCGGTCGATCAATTCACGTCGCAATTGCTTAGTAAGGGGATTGCAGAATGCACTCGGCACTGAATATTCGGTGCCGTGGTTTATTAATTCACGGAATACATAGAGCAATCGTGTTTATTGCGCGCTACACGATGTACAACACATGTTGATGCATTTGCAAGCCTATATAAGCATATGCGTTCTCGGAATATCCATTTGTCGCTTAAATAAACTTCACGATATAGTGAAATATACAATGGCGTATTTACCATCGATAATATCTCTTCGTGGAAGGAAGTAACGTTTGTTAATATACAAAATTAATATTTCCTCTTCTGTTCTCAGGTATGAACACGATGTAGACAAAATACTAACACAGTTACAATTTATCGGCGCCGAGAAGCCCTTGGGCGTTATAAATTGGTTCGCCGTGCATCCAACAAGCATGAACAACACCAACCGCTTGATCTCCAGCGACAATGTAGGCTATGCTTCGATCCTTTTCGAGAAAATGATGAGTAATAATGCTCTGGTCGGCAAGGTAAGTCCTCACCAATAAGTGGCATTGCTAAATACATAATAAATGTTTTTCATTTTATTACGCGACATAAATAGGATATGTGAGATTTGCAGTATTTCGTTTAAAATGGTTGCGCCGTGATATCCAATTTATAATGAAGAAAATTTGCGAATAAATCGCTAAGCAATTGCTAAACGACGTTCACAATTGTGAAGTTACCAAGGAGCACATGGACATTTTCGAGTTTAAATAAGTTATTTCAACACGTGCACTTAATAAATATTACACGTCGCGTGCAGACAGCAATTTTACAAGCTCCTGTCATTTTGTGCTGCATGCAGAAGTAATTGCGTGTATCGTGTTTCTTTGAAAGCGAATCTATTTGGCCTTCCTATTGTGCAGTTTATTCTGTTTCGTCCATTTTGCCTTTCTCTTTTTTTTTGTATTTTTTTATCAAATTATTATTTTTTTAAATATTGTATGGTAATTGCGATTTGCGTATCAGGTAATATTAGCCAGAGGTCAAATAAAAAACATGTGTGTGGCAAAATATGAACGCAAAGAAAAAAATAATATGATATGTGTAAGCTAACGCAGTTTGGCTCGTAAGCATAGTTTGATATTATTTTATTAACTTTGGTATTAATTTTGTATATACGTGAGGTTGCGTAAAGTCTTATCAGAACGAGGATTAGGCGTTATTTTACTTTCGCTTAAAACAAGCTGGACCTTATCATGGCACGAATTAAGCTCTAAACATATTTATTTATCCTTATAACGGTAAATGATTGTATACCGCTTTATATCTCACATGCCTGAAAGTAATTTTAAAATTTCACGTAAATCCATATTT